CGGTTAGGTGACGGGGTAGGTTTAGGTCTGGGGTAGGGTTAGGATCTGATAACGTCATCTGACCGACGTTTAAGGGTACCCTAAAAGGCGGATGTTGACGTATGTTCAAAAGACGTCCCAAGACGTCATAACTGACGTCTTGGGACGTCTTTTGAACATACGTCAACATCCGTTCGCACATGCGCACTCTTCAAAATCGGTACTTTAAATCTTTTGACAAACTAAAAGACGTAAATTACATTTGTATGTGTTCTAAATAAAAGGCACCGGTTGTACTGAATGTACAGTGTACAGTGTACAGCTTGCTTATTTTGCTCAAGATAAGGATTTATTACGCCCAAATGTGTCTAACCACAGGGGTGCGTTTCCCGAAAGCATGGTTAGCCAACTATGGTCGCAAGTTCCGTCGTTATCAGCATAGTTCAACGAGTCTGTGTTTCCCAAAACAATCGTTCCAACAAACATTCGCAAACACCATCGCAAAGTTGTGTAGCTTGAACGACAGCTCTCGATCTGTGGTTAGAGGCATCGTTTCTATATTGCAACACATTTGGAAAAAAAAATAAACTGTGGGCCTCGAGATAATTCACGTAGTTTAACTGTGCAACGCTTCTGTGTTGTACGTCACAGGGTTGGAACAACATAAGGGTGAATAATTACTGATAGAATTTTCATTTTGGGGTGAACTATCCCTTTAAGTACAATTAATTTGGCTGTGTAAGTCATTTCAACTTAAATTACATTAAACTGGCTTAACTTAAAAAATTAGTTGAATCTCATAAAAAAAAAGGAAAAAGAAAAAAAAAAGAAAAGAAAAACTTTTTTTTTACAGCGCTGACTCCAGATTACAATTCGGTGCTAAAAAAAAAGAAAAAAGAAAAAGAAACTATAGGCAAAAGTCATGTAATGTAGTCTAGCATTTAGTGCCATGTAAAAAATAATAAAGATTTTGAAAATGAAGTTGTCTGTTTTAAGAAAAATCTCCCAGATTAAGACCTTAGATTAAATTATTTTCTAAATAATAAAAATGAATGTACATTTTTGATAAGTCTTAATTTTATGACATTCTTGTTTGACTCTGGTGTTAAAACATTGTTTCATTATAACTTTTTATGTGGCACTAACACATAGAAAACAACTCTTTTTGTGTTTCACAGAAGACAGAAAGTGTGAGGAAATGATGACAGAATAAAATTTTGAGGCAAACTATTCCTTTAAAAGTTCCTGTCTGTCCTGAACTTTACACACTCACTTGCAATGACTTTCACGAGTGTTTGACAACATAATTAGTCATCATTGGAGTAGTTAAACCTCAGGCTTTGTGAAGCGCACTTTGACACGGGTGAAGCAGACTTACTGTAAGCTAGACAGACATGTCATTAGAGTGGTCTTTGTGTTTGTCCGGGTCCTGAGTGCACCAATATGTAGAAGAAAAAAAAAAAATCCTGACATTAAGCAGAGACATTGATGTTTCTATTTTAAGGCACATGCTCATATGTTCTTATTTGGCAGCTTATTTGAAAAAGCTGGATATACGTAAAAGGACTTAAACAGATTTCAGGTCTGGATTTCTTTTACAGACCTTATTATTATCATCACTATTTTAATAAATTTAGATAGTAACACTTTACAATAAGGTTAATTTTTTAACATTAGTGAATTCATTAACTAACATGAACTAACCATTCATTTCTTTTTTAGTTAATAAAAATACAGTTGTTCATAGTTAGTTCACAGTGCATTAACTAATATTAACAAACAACTCTTGATTTTATTAACAAATCAACTCTTAAAGATTAATAAATGCATTAGAAGTGCATTCATTATTAATTTATGTTAACTATAATAATGTTAAATAATGAACCTTATTGTAAAGCGTTAACATTTAGTTACTGCCCTTCTTAGATTTAAAGGAGCTACATTATGCACATATTAGAAGAATTCAAGTAGAGGTTTGTAATTGATTATTTGGATAACAATGGCTAAATAGGTAAAAAACTATTAAAAGTGAAGTTTGTTTTTCCTGAAATGTTTGCTTATTGCACTGTAACACAACCTTAAGCAAGCGATTGGGTAAAACCGTTTTGTGTCACAATATCTCATTGTAAAAATCCTAAATTCACACATTCATTATTTTCACTCTTGCAGTGGAGATATATCAAATGCTGAGATTAAACTGTCAGCTTTGATTTTAAATACTTTAATACACCCAGCAGTTATTCAGCGACTAATTTCTCTGTCAAGGCGTTGCTGGGGGGCCGACAGAGACTCTGGGCGCAGGATTTGGATTTGCACAATGACAGAGCAGTTATACAAATCTACTTCCACAATTAAAGGTGCCAGAAAGAGTGTCCGGTGTAAAGACCTTTCCCGCACCAATTTCTGACGTTTTACCTGTATCAATCCCTGGAACATATGCTAGAGGACATTCTCCAATAATAAGCATGAGTAAGGGATACATTAGGTATTTATTTGGGATGTTGGGAAAGAGTAGAAGTGGCTTTGTCAAGGTCAGATGCAGCATTGGATGCCAAATGAGTTTGGACCTCCGTTTTGTATGAGGGAACACCCTCAAGCGAGAAGCATGCCATTAACGTGGCAGCAATAATGAAGGTGGAGAGAAAATAATTAGACTTGTAGAATGTAAATTATGGAGCAATTAATCATTAAACTGGGTCAGTATTAGGACTCACTGAAAGTGCCAAACAAACAATGCTTTAATTATCGGCCAATTAGGTGGTTAATAATGCTTTTCAGTGGAAAGATGGCCCTTGCTTCCATCAAATCATTTTTATTTTTACCCTTGCAGCAGGAAATGGAGGTACCAATTACACTGCGGCTGACTCTTTCATCACCCATTTTTTTGTTTGTTCTTAGTCATAGTTTTATCTTTTAATAAAAATGTTCTTTGATTTTTAAAATAAAAGGAAACATTTAAACTCACATTCAAACGTTTTAATCCATTTTACTGATTAAAATTGCATGTGATTTTTGTTTTAAGTTTAGTTGACGGTTTGAAACTCAATGGAACTTGACTAAACTTGAAGACTTTTTTAAACCTTTTAAAAATGTATAAATAAGAAGATTCATTTGAATTTGTAAAGCAAGCTAGGAGCTCCTGGAATAATTGCATATAATGAGTGAACTGAAGTATTATTATCTTTTTTTAGACGTTATTAGTCAAATCCTTCATGCTTTACCGAATGTTATTAATTTTTTTCATGTTTTATAGACTTAGGCTAATATTTTACATTCATGTCACACACTGGCTGCAGTAAAACACATGGAGAAGAAGATATATATCCGAGGCCGTTTTTAATAATAACCACAGCTAAATCCAAACAAAGGTAAGCAAACACAACCATAACATAGATGAGACCGGACAAATAAGAACTGAAAGCATAGTAACTCAGATACACAGATCAACCAATGTAATAAATAGCGGTTAAACAGAATGAAGAAATAAAATCAGTAACCATGGTGACAAACTCAGGTGGGAAAACGGCAAGCAAATTCGAAACATAACAGAACCGTGACACTATAATTTAAGCATGGTTGTTATAACAACATAATTTTTGTGTTATGTATCTTAATTCACATTTGCTTATGCTTTATTGCCTATGCAAATTTAAGTTGTAACGTGTTTTTAGTTTTCATTTTTTTCTTGATATATGTATATATATAGTAGCTGCATATAGATTTGTCTTAATTGTTGATCATTTGAAAAAAAAAATGAGATTGACTTAACACTGAAACAAATTTTATGCACTTTCACTGTGTTTCCAACGCATTCTCATCCTTTAACGTCATATAGAACGCTATGTGACAAAACGGCGCTATACTACGCACATGGCACCCGTTATCGTTAATATAACACGTGCTGTGAGGGCTAAGTTTAGGTGTGGGGTAGGGTGTGCGTGTCATATTCACGCTAAAGGATTTATAACGTCTTGGGTTCGCGTGTTATATTAATGATAAAGTGTGCCATGTGCGTAGTATAGCGCTGTTTTTGCATAGCGTTCTATATGACGTTAAAGGATGAGAACGGGCTGGTGTTTCACAGGTAACAGATTCTATTCTGTCTAAATTCTCTCAAAGCACACCAGTCCGGAAAGCCAAAGCACATTTATTAATTCAATTTTTAATTGAATTTTTTTCCACAATTTCTCTGCTTAGTCAATTCCCACGCTGTCCTCGGGTTGGATGATTGGCGTGTAATTACTAGCTGTTGGCACAGACAAGACCTAGCATGTCCTAATTTTTTTATGCCCTCCCTCTGTCTTTCTTGGATCCCTTTTTTAAAACTCATCTAAAACTTCTTCCCAAAGTCTATCTCTCACTCGCTCTTCCTCCCCCTTTTCACCTCCCCCACATATCTTCTCCATCTTCTCGTGCTGTTTAATAGTTTCTATCCTTCCATTAGCCAAACTGCCTCACATATTGTGAGGGTCCGCGTGGGTGTTTCCCTGTAAAGCTCTTTTTATATGGTTTAACAAGAGCTTTCCTCATAATAATTATTTCTTCATGCAGACCTATCAAACTGGGCATCGGCCCACATGGCGTCGCAGTTGAACTCCATTCTTTGAGGATACGTGTTAATAAAACAAGTGGCAGATAACAGTAATTACCACTCAATGGCTCCGGTTCTCTATGGGGGCAAGCAGAGAGAGACTCCAGACTTGAGTGCTTGATTCATTTAAAGGTTAATTTCACCCCAAAATGTAAATTCTGTGATTACTCATCTTCATATCATTCCAAAACTCTGGTTTGGGGGGTGGGTGGGATGATGGGACATAGCCTCAAATAGCATAGCAATATTAGCGAAAGTATGTTATGTACTATACCATAAATGGCGTCACCTAACTGATGCCTTGGGAAGAATTTTGACCATGATTCAATATCTGACGCTTTAGGCGCCCTTTAGCGTCAATTCAGACCTGGGACAGTCTTGCACATTTAATTCTGTCCTATGCATGTGTTATCGAGTGGCTACAAATGTGGGTATTGGGACAGGACCAATTTTGTTAACTGAATCAATTGATTCATTGAAAAGATTTGATTCTAAAGAATGATTTATTCATAACTCACAGTATCTCTTATGAGCTCTCATAACAGGCCAAGAAGCACTAAAATGTCAAAGACTTCCATCTAAGTCTGTTTGCATCACAAAGCAAGACTTTAGAAAACTTGTTTTTTGTCATTTTGAAGCTTGACAACTGCCGTCCTCATTCACTTTCATTATATAAAACTTTAGAATTATATGCGGTGTTTAAATGACAGAATTTTTATTTTTGTGTGATATGCTGCCATTCACCTTCTTTCCATCCACTCATCCATCGATCCATCTGTACCAGGCTGTGTCAGGCTGTCTCTTCTCAATGTCCTCCCTCTGTCACCAGAGTATTAGCATAAGTAATTACAAATTCATGTGTGCCTGCATGGGTTTCTAATTTAAAATAAATGTGTTGATCTCTTTGATTCGTTTTTAGTTCAGAGCAGCCTGTCTTGTACAATTAAGATAACAGGAGTTTGTGATGGATGTCAGCTGAGGGGGGTAATTGGAATCCCCTCCCTCTTTAAGCTGTTATCTTATTTTGTTTTTAAAGTCTTCCGAGCTTTCTGAAGACTCCAGCGGCGACTCACTCGTGCCGCATATTGAAGTCTGTGTGGCTATCGCAAGGATCCACAATGAATGGTGTTTGGAGCTCAATGCTCGTGTAATTCTATTGATTTCACTTCAGAGGAAATGTGTGTGAAACACAGGGATCCATATCCACTTAAACCGCAGAATAGCGCTTCTCCCTGAATAAGAGCGAGACATAAATACACAATTTAATATTGCTCTAAAACAGCTGTCGCCTCTGACTGAAATCACAGCGAAGTTGATTGTATTCAAATGAGTGTCAGAGCTGCACTTGACATGCATGCGTTCACAATAGAGCGCTCATGTTATATAGTGTGCTTTGTCAGGAAAACTGACTTCACTTTTATTGACTCCAAAAAAAGGAAAGATAGAGGGAAACAACACACACACGCACACACACACACACACACACACACATACACACACACACACACGAGTTTCAGTAATACTTATGTTTTAGTAGAGGGGAACTGATGTGGTAAATGCTATGTGTAATATATAGAACATAACCCCACTGTAAGAAAAAGCTAGGTCAGAAATTATGGCCAAATAGGTATCTAGTTCAGCTCCTCGCACTGGATGGACCTCACAAATAACATCCCTATAGACGAATCCGGCGGAAGTAAGCGGGGCGCCATTACTGAGCTGTTGCTGGGTAGCGTTGCGCCATTGCCTCCTATTGTTTGTTGCAACTTGCGTCCACTGGAATAAACAGCCCGCGATTTACGACTGTCACTAACGTTACAACGTTATCCCTTGTATAATGTCGAGTGGGTAAACAGTTTCCGTTATAAATTGTTTCAATGGTGGCAGTAAAATTTCAATTTTGAAGAGAAAACACTGTGAATACCCCGGGTCGAGTGCCCTTGTCTGGTGCCGTACGGTTTACAGATTTCCTGGGCGAGTACAAGACGTGGACATTCGCGTATAATAACAATTATTTAATGACATAAGTAAAAAAAATATAATAAATATGTGATATAGTGATCAGCAAAATCTCCTCTCTTGCTATTTTTTCTATTAAATTAACATGCTATGGTCATTAAATGGCTTTCCTGAGCTAAATGTAACGTTATGTGACATAATTGTTCTCCCGCTGTTATATTGACCTCTTTCCATGGTTTAAAAACACTAATTGGTCGATATTATGTATACTTTCTAGCTGTAACGTTACCTTACCCTTGCCTGTTGCAATGTGAAAATGAGATAAATAATGGACAAAAAAAAGAAAAACATGAATTTGTTTATTTGATGTCATTCATTTATTTATTTATTGTTGCCAAATGGACAGATCTTTTTAAAGTTTCCTCGTTAGCAAACGTTAGCCTAGCTAGCTTGCCAAGCTATTTTCATAAATAACGTTAATCTGTAAGATCGTTTGTACCTTCATCTGTGACTGGAGGCCACTGCAGTCACAGATCAAACCAACAAGTCATTCTGCCTGGCTGTAGCTGTCATCGAGGGTGAGTTCGCGTTATCACCGAGGTTTGTTTACATACCGGTGCATATGTCTATATGCCTGTGTAACAGCTCAGTAATTGCGTCGCCACAAGATGGCAGCCTACATAGAACGCTCGTCGGATTCGTCTATAAACTACAAATTCGGTAACGAACTCGGAAAAGTTTTGGTCGCCATCTTTTAGCTCGACATATACATCATCACAGTCTACCATGTGCCGTTCACATAGCTCGGAGCCCACCAGGAGTTTAACAAGGTTAATGTCATTACCTGCCAATATTTCAGGTATAAATTCTGTGGTGACATCATCACTTCGAGGCTGGCACAGATGGTAATGCGGGTTGGAGACAACATCGGCGGTTGAAGCCGGGGTGGATATCGACTGAGCAGAGAAGAGGGTCGAGGAAGGTCTGGAAATGGAGCCATCTTCCAGTGTTGATATCCTAGCAGACATGCTGAGGAGAGAAGATTGGATATCAGAAAGTGCCATGAACACCATCATCTGCTGAAAAAGCACTTGGGCAAGGACGAACAGAGCAGCTGACCCATTTTTGGGCTGGGGCATTGCTGGTCATCTCGGGATTTTTTGTGCTTCAAGGTGTGCTTTTCCAGAGCACTGGGGAGGAGGCACCGGCAGAGACTCAACTGGAATAATCGCACAAAGAGGAGCACAAATAGGTCCTCGTGAGAGGCGCCACATGTAGGCTAAATGATATTTGAAAATAGAGTTTACAGTATTTTTGCCACGGGCCAATCGCCGATGCATGGTTGGGACGAGGATTTATTCGTCAACCGCCGAGAACTCCTACGATTGGTAGCGTTATCTTCCAGACAGGCATCCTACCCCTGATCCGATTGGAATGGTGATTGCCGGGTTTTCTCAGAGGAGTCTAGCCATTCTTCCTTGACAGTGGCAGAAGTCATAGCCGACAATAGGGTGAGAAGAATCAGTGCTTTTGCACTTAACACCATGAGTGATTTTACCAGCGTACAGAGCAGCAGAAGCGAGCAGCAAGCATGTATGAGCAAGCTGAATGAGCTTTAAATAGGGCGCCTTGTTTGAGCTTTGGCCATTGAGCAGCGAGGGGAGTTACACAGCTAATGCAGCTCAGCTGAAGCAGATCAGCTGACGGGACAGTGTTTTTAGCAAGTAGTGTAAGCAGCGTCTTGATTACTTGGCCAGCCAGAACTGACGCAGACGCTCAATTTAATCACCTTCATTTGTGTCACCTGGTTTCTGTCTGCATTTAGTTCCTTCTTGTTCAGTTTGTCCTTGTCAGTTGTTTGTTGTATTCAACGTGTGTGTTATTCTGCCCGTCATCCTGCCTGCCTGCCTGTTTGTTCCTGTGCTTTATATTAGTAAAACTGTCTGATTTGGAATCTTTTTACTTTGAGTCTTCTTCTTCCCGCTACACACCCGTTACAGTTCTATTAATATTTTCATCTTTTATTTTTTTTTGCTCAGTCAGAGCATTTCATATTTTGTGACATCGAATTGCATTTATTCATGCATTTCATGTTTGTTGTGTGCACACACACAAAACACACAAAAAAGAGCAAAAGAGAGAAAAAATATAAAAGGGGAGGGAAAAAAAAAATCCTCTTCAGCTTTCCTCCTACTTCAGTGTGTTGGTCTTTGATAAAGACCTGTTACCGGGGCAACACAGACCTAATTCACAGACTTGGAACTGTCATGCACTAACCTCTGGAGCGGAAAGGGGGGTGCAAGAACGGTAAAGTGAGGGTGTGGGTGAGGGTGGAGGGGTGAGCAGGAGAGACAGTTAATTACAGAATGCAAATTACATTGTCAGAAGAGCCATTCAAAAAAAAAGAGTCTGCTCCAGCCTTTCAGCTCCTCCCCTTTGGTGCAGGTTTAATAAGCGACTCTTTCAAACGGCCCTGCCTGTGGCTTTCAGAGACAACTGGAAATAATCTCAGAATGATGAACAGAATCGGATTGCCTCTTCCAGGCCTTGACAACCTAATTCATGCAAAATAGGGGAAAAGCCATGGGCATGGGACTATCTTCTTACAAGGTGTTGAACAACATCAACACATGGGCTCTGAAATTTCTAACCCCCTTTTTCTCTTTAGCTCACTCTTTCTTACTTTAACTTACGATATCTCCGTTTTACCCACATTGCCTCTGTTTCTTTGCCCAAGGAAAGGTTCCCTCTAGTAATCCTGTAATTTAATTTGACTTGTCATGGCTGAAGGAAACTTGAAGTATGCTGGATTTTGAGTGGAAATCCCACTGCTTCGAATATAGACACACTACACACTGAATAATTATAATGGTGGGAATAAAATATTGAATACTCATTATTGTAGCTGTAAATGGCAACTCTGTCCAGCACTTCTAATCTAATCAATGACTGGGTCCAGACTTTGATAAAATGATGTCACGTACAAGATATTTCAAACCTGTATGAATTTTTCTTCTTATGCTTGAACACAAAAGAAGATATTTTGAAGAATGTCAGTAACCAGACAGTTGATGGATCCCATTGACTTCGATAGTGGGGAAAAATAGTCAATGTGGGTTATCAACTTTGGTAACCGACATTCTTCAAAATATCTTCTTTTGTGTTCAGCAGAAGAAAGAAATTCATACAGGTTTGAAACAACTTGAGGATGAGTAAATGATGAACTATTCCTTTAAGTACTTATCAAAATAAACTATGGTTTATTTAATCAATGTTGGCATTTCACAAACGCTTAACAAATAATGTCTACCTTTACACTCCAAAAATGTATCTGATATAGTTATAGGCATTATTTTATACATCTCCAGTGTTTTAAAATATATTGGCCTGGTTTCACAGACAGGGCTATGGATAGATTAAGCCAGGACAAGGCTTTAGTTCAATTAGGACATGCCAGTACCTTTTATAAATGTGCTTTATAAAAAAAATAAATAAATACTGGCGTGCATCTTGAGACGAAACAATGACACTCATATATTTTAAGAAAGCAAGCTGCTTTCAATTCGAACATGCATTTTGTTCTGGTACTAGGCTTAAGCCTTGTCTGTCAAACCAGGGAATTAAATGTTAGATCAAACTACACCTCAAATTCAACCTGCATGCAATGACCTCAGGGATCAGGAAAATTTCATGCTGCACTCTGATTCAGTTTGTTGCTATTCGGTTTTTGGGGAGAAAATAAAATCAAACCCTCTGGGGCCTTTAGCTGTGAAAACAACAAGCAAAGCTAATATTAAGAAAGGGAAGTGTATACTTGTTAACATTCAGTCTTCGTTCACCACGTAACTGCTTGTGCTCCATCTGCACTTGTGGCTTCCCGAGGTAGTCAATCTGCTCGCCACCACCGAAATCGATAGACGTGAGAGTAGAGAAGTATGAGTTGAGAGGCAAGATCTGCGACTATTGCCCTTTTTAAATTCCTCCATTTACTGTGAGAGCGACTAGGGGCCATTATAAAATGTTTAAAGTAATAGATATTGAACTAGCATTCAAAGTGAGCTGAGCGAAAGGTAATCAAAGGATTCAGTAATTACAGTGTCTTTTGTAGTCCTCCAAACCAAAAAAGACTCCATTATGTCCTTGTTCTCCTGATAATAATGAAACAGGTGTTTGGCTGTGTGTGTGTGTTGGGGTACTTTTAAGTCAAAGGACACAGTTACATGGGAACTGCTAGGGAGGCCAATTTGCAATGTGTGCTATAATGACAAATGTTTTTCAGTGTTTTGTTGGAGGAAAAAAAATGAGCTTGGACAAAATGGTTCATTATTCGTTATGAAATATAATAAGAGAACTGATATCATATACTATGGATTGCATCAGAATATATGGTTTATAATTATAGCTTCAGTTGAAAGACCTTGGATTTTAGATTTTTTGTTTTATTTGGCAGGATTTAGATTTTCTCTGGCATCTCCGTTTCACATGGCTTCCCAACGCACATACTGTACTTAAAAAAACTTGATTTGTTTGTTTGATTTTTAAGCAGTTAATCATAATAAATAAATGTTGAAATCCTTCATCTGCATGGTTCAAAATCTATTTGAATGTTTGTTTAGAGGCAGATGATATGCAATTCTGGAGTCTGTGTTTGTCTGAGGGCTAAAAATCATTCTCTGATATCTCAGGGGAGCTGCTTTTGTGGCACGTAAGTGTCGCATTGGAATTCTGCTCAGGACCAGACCAGTGTCTGACTGTCATTCCTAATATGGATGGTGCCAATTAGACCACAGCTACAGAACCTCACACTCCATCACAGTCTCTTATATACAATCCACTTCGAACATTTTGCCCCCTACACACTCATTAATCCATACTCAAAGTTTTGTGTGAAGCTATTTATCCTCATGATTTTCATCACAAGCCACAGATCATCCCCCCCAAATCTATATATAGTAACTATAACTTTTCTATAAAATTATTCACTGTTCAAACATTTGATTTTTTAAGTCTCTCATGCTACCAAGGCTGCATGTATTTGACTTTGTTTAAAATACAGTAAAAATGGTAATATTCTGAAATATTACTACAATTTAAAATAAATATGTTCTAATTTAATATATTGTAAAATGTAATTTACTTTACTCCTGTGATGGAAAAGCTACATTCTCAGTAGCTTTTACTCCAGTTTTCAATGTCACTTCATCATTATCAATGGTGAAAAGAACTTGAACTTGAAACTACTGAAATGAATTAGCAAAAAAAAAAAAAGTATTATTGTAACATTATAAATTTCCTTACTCCCACTGATTAATGTAATGCATGTGCTGACACAAGTGTGTTTGTTAAATAAAAACAAAATGATTCAATCATCTGGACTTGTGCTATGATGCATAGACAATGTGATTTGTGTTTACTTGTGATTTCAGATAAAACAAGATACGTCAACAGTATTCTATTAGCACAAAATACCTTGAAGCTTATACAAATTAAAGTATAAATTACAGTATTTAGAAGCATAATATCTCTAGCTGCTTACAGGTAATTAGTATAGGCCATGTTTAGAATAATTGTACAGAAGCAAACATATGTAAAATTATACTGTCTGATAGACTCAAAATTATAAAAAACAACAACACCCAGAGCAATACAATCAGAGTTATATTAAAGCAGCAGTCCATAGCTTTTTAGGGGTTAAAAATTATCCAAAATACATATTTGAGAAAATACATAACCAGCCAGTGTTTAAAACTATCTGCTTGCCGTAGCTCGATTTAAAGCGGTAAGCTTGTACTGTATTAATGTTTTTAATTCCAGTGGTACTGGTGGATTTCCGTGGGAGATTTGAGCATGTCTTTGCGTCATTACGTCACATCGGTACACATAAAGAAGGAGTCTCGGCTAGTAGCTATATTATGTGTGAGGATACTGGAGGTGGAGATTTATAGATATAATTAAACTTATCAATTTGATGGCAGATCTAGAAAGGTTCAAACGACAATCACCAATGACAACTAGACATTCACCCGCTG